AAACCGAAAAAAATAATGTATATATATATATATACCACCAAAATGTTAAAAAAATTGTTTTCTTTTATTTTTATTTCTGTCACCAGCTCTAATGTAGACATTAAGCTTTTTTGTTCCGCATAAACTACCAGAGCAATTTCATTCCATTGTCGGGTTCTTTCTCCGGCTTTATGGTCCGTCATGGTGGCTTCTGGAAACCACATGATTTGCTTTTTTGCATCTTTACAATTTCTTCGAAAAAATCTCGCCCCTAATAAGGACGCGTCATTGATCTAAGCAATAATCAATGTTTTTTTCTGCGGCTCGAAAGATTGAAATTGATGCTACATTTTTATGAAACGGTAGACTATAATAAGTTGACAGTTGAGAAGGAATTTTATAACATAACCTCAAGAGAGAGAAAAGCCTTTGATTTGATGTAGATATCTTAAATTTCTCCTTATGGCCATACAATATATAAATTACTCTGTTGACATTCTTTCCAGCTTATGACCAAGGTAGACGAAAAACGAAGAAAACGCTTAATAAGGGTTAAGAGAGAGAGAGAGAAAAAGAGGTAAAATTACTCTTACATTACTCTCACAGAATTGAATATGTTCGGAGCAACAAAATATCCAAACGTCATGGTGACGCTCAGTTCGGTTCTCAAATAATAAATGCAAAAATTGTCTCTTTACGAAAATTGAAATTTCAAAATTTTCGATTCGTCATGCCTTCGAAGCATGAACTAATTTAAAAACGCTCATAAACTTTGAATACAACCCTGCGATTTTTACTTTAAACGAACTCGGACAGCATAAGTATTGGTTTGTTTTTTTTTTTTTCTTGCTTTTCAAATAATCCGTAATATACTTTGCATCCATCAATTAAAAAAAGTAAAAGAAAAAAAAATGATCAAATTTGACAAGCGAAACTTCTTAATTAACTTTAGCATTCATTTTTGGCAAATATTTCTTTATTTATTTAATTATTTTTTTCAATTCAATTTTAAAATTTTTAATTCAAATTGATTTGAAAAGTTTTTTGCATCAAAAACTAACATTCCATGTCGATATAAATTTACAAACGCATCCGCACTTAGTCAAATTTTTTCAATATCACACACAGAAGACACAAACATGTATATATATATATATATATCTATACACATGTAAACACACACACTCATACACATAAACACATACACATACACATACAATTTAAAAAAAAAAATACACGAAAAATTCTTCAATCAAATACTAGTAGTTATTATATTACAATTAATTAATTACTAATAAAATTAATTAATTATTAATAATTATACACAATTGTTGTTGTCATAAAACTATAACGAATAAAGAAAACGAAAGTAAGTTAAGTAGCATATATACACTTAATGCAATCTTCAGCAGTGTTTAGATAATAAATATGAAAGAGGACAGAGTCAGTCAGTCAGTCAAGCAAAGAAAAATGATACAATAAATTTAATCAAACTTAAGAAAAGCAAAAAAACCAACAATACTTAATTTGAATTTATTAAAATTTTAAATAACCAAAACCACTCTAAGGTAAGTTTTAGCACTATATGCATATATAAATCGAAAGATTTAAGAAAACTAATTATAAAGAATGAATTTAAAGCATTTTAAAGGCGAGGAACTCAAGCAAAAGAAGAATATTGAATACATACATATTGTATATGGATCTTTGATGGGTATTTCTGGACAGTGGACAACCACTAAACTAAACGTTTGCACATTCCAATAATGGATAAAAGAAATAATTTAAAAATAAAACCGTTTACACGCTTATTGACGAAACTTGTACAACTATCAGCTATCAGTGATGAATGTTTATCAACCAAAGTAACAAAATCGTGTCTTGTTGTCTACGAAAGTATGCAACCTAGCGAGGGTGGGCACGCATCCACTTGGGGTACGGCCAACCGTTACCTCTTTTTCTTTTCCTACTTCTTTCCGATCGTTATCCTATTACACCAATACAACACCATATCGCCTGGGTGATTGAATATAATTGAAAGAAAAGGAGCATCTCTCGCCTAGCCAACGCCTGTTAAGTAAGCGTATTTATACCCTACACTGCTTGCGGTATAAAGAACACTAAATTTGTGCGCACGTATGCAGCTTGCTGAAGGGCGTAAGATAGACCCTGCTAATATTACACCAATCAGCTTAGAAAATGCCTATCTGTCCGTCCATCTGATGGCTGTTCATACAAATTTGCGTGCAAGCTACAGGTCGCGATTTGTGAGATAGCTTGATGAAATTTGGTGCACTGATGTGTTTTGAACCAAGGACAAGCACTATTGAAAATAGATCGGACCACTCCCCACCACGCCCTATTCTGAAAAGTCGTTATATGAAAAAAATTGCAAATTTCAAAATTTCTCAACGAAGATGGCCAAGTATTAACAGTATTGCATTGGCATTCTAAATTGATAAGAAAACTTTGGATCAGCTGGGGCAATTTTTAAGCATTTTCTCATATAACGAAAACTAAAGTTCATATGACAAAAAGTTCTAATTTTCAATGCTTAATGATCATGAAAATCAGCTTATAATTTAAACCATTTAAGATAAAAAGATTAACTGTACCAAATTGGCACGATGTCGGCCTATTTTTTGGATCCCATCCTATATAAGAATTTCAACGAAAGTTTTTGTTTTTTAGGACAAAAAAGTGTAAATTTTAATATGTTATAACGGGAACCGACAGTATTTTGACATAAAAGATCTCAATTTTTGAACCTTTTGGGCACAACCATTTTTACTAAAAGTAAGTCTTTATTTACAAAGAGATCTAATTTTTAATAGACAATTCCATTTATTGCAAATTCATATAAAAACAGGATATAATTTTTGTGTTCTATGACACTAATCAAAACTGTGTTAGACAATGTGGTGTAGGGTCTGGCCTGACTATAATGTTTTTTTTCTCTTGTTTCCCTCTAAACTTTTTTAATACTTTTTTTATACCCGGATATATATATATATACATATATAGATATAGTCCTCTGGTCAAAATATTTACAACATCCAGAAGAGAACATCGCAAGATTTTTTTCCGTTCCGGTAACGATAAATTTCAACCTTTATACGCATATTCGAGTATGAATGTGTACCTATGTGTGATCTAGCAAATGGACTAAAGAACAAAGGTGATCCATGTTAGTATTAAGTGAGACACGCTCGTTTACTCATGGCTACTAGTAAAGGTCATTTACGCCATTGTATCTTATACGAATTCCAACAATGGGGGAACGCTACAGAAGCGTGCAGAAATTTGTTGAAAGTGTTTAATGAAAGTACAATTTCTGATAGAATATGCAGAAGATGATATGAGAATGCTTCCAAGGTTCGGAGATTGCGGAAAGCTTGATCAAGGTCAACAAACCATTTCAGATCATATTCGAAAACCCGGATTCTAACATATATATAGTTTTTTACCAATATGAAATGCGAAATAGTTTAAGCATGTCCGTCTGACCCCTGGCTCCCTGTGTAATATCTATGTTAAATATTTTTGTGCCCACAAAAATGAAGCTATCCGGTTGGGTTTGCCAAAAACATTGAAAGTTCTTGCACAGAGATTGATATATCAAGTCGCCCAAATCGATTGAAGAATACAGTGTCTACAGTGCAATATAAAGTGGGAGGGTAAACACGTCATTTGTTTTATAAACACTATAGAAACATTGCCTGAATTGCTTATGCAGGGATAGGATGAATGGGCGGAGCTCACATTGACATGAAAATGCCAATTACATCGTGTTTTTTTTTTGGGTCGAAAATTACGGAAAAAAAATCCATATTCTGAAGAACCCTGTGTGCGTTTCGCTAGATGTCGAGCTATCTAGATTAAATAATTTTATTTAAATTGTAATTTGGATCAGTTATGCTGCTTGCCGCAGAGCCTCTTAATCTATATATGTTTGCAGAGAATAGCTTCGGTGTTGCCATTTTTAATATTTTTCAAAAATAATTTTTTCTTTTCTAACACTTTAAGGGCATGTTTAATATCCTCCTCAAATCTTACTGTTCCACAACTTTCCCTTCCATTCAAAAAAAAAAAATAAATAAATTACACCAAAAGCCGTTACAATGCTCTACCCCCAGCAAAGCCACGCATTGTACACAATTTTGCACGAACAGGGTGTGCTACCATAGTGACTTTTAAATGTTTTGAATTGTATATAAACAAGTAAGGACCGAATCTTCTATACCCATAACCGTTATCCTAAAAAGGACAAAGAAAGAAAAAGAAACAAATTTTCATGCTTTATAATAGGGAGCAGGCGAGGTGGTTTTTTTTTTGATTTTCCAAATAAAACTTTACGTCGTATAGGCGCCTAAGCGTTGCAGGCATGCACTTTGAAAAGTTATGGACGATTTCAAATTGTTTTGCAAAATTTGTAGGTGATATCTTAATTTTTGCGTACGGGAGAATGTTTACTACAAGTGTGCAGATGAACAGACGGACGTGAAGCTTTGAAGCTTGTTTTTGCGGCTTATAAAGATATTGAAAAAAAATTAAATTTTAATACACTATATATACAATGTATACTGAGTAGGCGTAATCAATTTTTTTCCATTTTTGCACAAGTGCTACTACATCGCCGATAGAAAGTGCGTTTATCTGCTATAGTTTATGAGTAATAAACAAAAAACCATTTTTTTATTCCTTTTGGAAATAGAGGTGTTCTCAGTTTGCATGGTGCTGTGGACGTGTCCTTTGACCAATTTGACCCAGTCACAACCTGCTTACAACAACTTTTAATGTTTCTGAAAAATGTGAAGTCGATAGGACTTAGGAATATACTTAAATCGATTTAGTATTTAATGCTGATCAAGAATGTATAGAGTTTGTAGAGTCTCTGTTGCTTCCTTCTGGGATCGTTGCAAACGTTTTGCCAAAATGAATATACCCCTCATCCTTCGGTGATGAGTATAAAACCAATAATAATGTAAATTACAAAGTCAAAGGAACATTAAAAAAACGCAATGGACCCGGCCAAGAAAATTGGACAAATGTAAGCAAAAATTAATTTAAAAAAAAAAAATTAAATCAATACAGATTTTTGATGAGATTTATGATGGCATGTGATGCGATTAACAAAAAAAAAAAATTAATATATTGATTACACACACAGCAAAGAACAATGTTATATGGAAAACAAAGCCAGACGGAATTATCCTAAAAAATGGTTTAAACCATCAGATCAAACACTTTGGAAGCAAATGTATAATCAAAACACATTTAATCAGCAATTGAAAGAGGATCTAAAATTAAAAGGTGTTTTTAATTTAACAATTTAAGAAGAAGAAGAAATTGTTCAAATTTTTTTTTTGTTTTAACCTTTGTTTGGTTTTTTTTTTTTTTAAATAGACTTATGTCCCTATGAGTACACGGGTCAGGGCGAATCATATTTCGTTTCATGCGATATGTACAAATCTTTAATGTCATCGTGTCGTTGTGGTGAACCACGAACCGGAGCTCATATGTTGAAATGTTTGCAAAAGCAAAAAAACACATTTTTACATGAGAACGAGGAGGAAGGAAATGATGAAGTACCGATGAAAATGCCGGAGACATCGAACAGTAAGAAATTTAAATAATTGATGCAATTGTAATACCCATCACCCATCAAGGATGGGGGCTGCCAATTTAAACGAATTTAAACATGTCCGTCTGTCCGTCCGATTGTCTGTCTGTGTAATATCTACGGTAAACATTCAGCTGGTCGCAAAAAATAACTAATCGGCTTAAAATTTGTAAATTGGTATTGAAAATGGAACAGATCAATGAAAGAAAGACGCTTCAGAAGCCATATAAAGTCTACATATCAGTGGTCAGTATCAAACGGTGATGGGTGTAAAAGAATCGGTCGCGTTTTTTACTTGTTTTTCAAATTTACTCATTCATATAGGTTTTATAGGTTGGCATTCATCAGATACTACCACTTATAAGCGATGGGAACAATCAATGCGATATACTTCACCGCTGCAATCAATGCCAGGTCCTAAAATCACATCACACCCATATCATGCCATAATAATTGGTTGAAATCAATATTTAATTGAAAGAAAACAAGAGAAAAACACAAAATTATACTCGGTCGTGACCGAATCATTTCTACCCATCATCACTATAATATTGGGTAGATGCGACTGATTTCTTCTTAATTGCAGAATAAAAGTGAAAAAGTTATATTGTGTATAATAAATGTTGTACTTTATGAGTGAGACACAGAAAATACGGTAAGCAAAGGTGTTCACAGTTTTCGTTGCATAGGCATGTGGGCGTTGTAGGCGAGGTCTTTGAAAAGTTTCCAAATTTGCGAACAGGAGAATGTTTACCCCAAATACAAAATAGTTGCGCGGACATACAGATGGGCAGGCTTAGGTGAATTCCGAATTCGAATGTGGCCAAAACTCGAAATACTTTATGAGGTTTTCAAAGTTGGTTTTTACACGTGAAAAAATCCCTTATCCTTCGTTGATGAATATAAAAATATATGTATATATTCTATACGAAGCCATTGGCTTGTATTTCTCTAGATGTAAATGATTTGTTACGCATGTGGACGAGAAAATCCACTGAGTTGGGACTTGCAAGACTTTGAGGCTAACTAAGATTTCGGCTACGCCTATTTAAAGCAGTGAAATTTAATTTTTTGAAATTGGAAATTTTTCGGAATAGATCAACGTAGCAGACGAGAAAAAAAAGCGGAAGAAGAAGAAGAAAAAGTGGGAGAAGGAGAATATTAAGCATGCCCATCAAGTATTACAAAAAAATAATTATTTTTTAAAAATTAAAAAAAGAAATGGCAACACTGCTGTCACTCTCTGGAGGATCCCTGCGACCAGCAGCATAATTGGTTCAATTTTGAATTAAAAACAAAAACCAAAAAAAAAACATTTAATCTACATTCCTATGTCTAGTGAAACACGTAGGGATTTTTAAAAATATTGATTTCTGTGTAATTGGCGAGTGTTTGAATGGAAAAAAGGCCGCTCTCTTCTTAGTAAAAAACTTGTTTAACTGCTTCCTGTTTACCGAAGCTGAATGAAAAAACTTGAAAATTGTTTAAGTTGTGCTGCTTGCCGATATCGAGAACCTTACACAACACACTTTTTTGCGATTCCAGAACCGTGACAGTGTTCGTACATTTAATTAAAATGTTCCTCGTCTTTTTCCTGCTGAAATGTGCCCCGTTTTACGGCATCTGTCAAAAATCGCTCAGCTGTCTTGATCCAGTTAACGTCAGCTTCAATGCAAAAATTGTATTGATTGGATACCAAATTCAAAACTTTAAATGTACACAGCAATGTCAGTCACTATGTCCAAAACTTTTTTGCCATTTAGACCAAGTCCAAACAGTGACATTGAAACTTTCATTTTGCATTTCGCGTGTATGCTCCCAAGCGACCAAGACCGAAAATGCATATAAACTTCACTTTCAAAGACTTTCGCTTTCACTTTACAAAGAAAAATCGTGACTTAAGCAAGAAAACTGCATCCTTTTCATACCAGCGCTCAAGTTACTCAGTTACTCAGAGTATTTTTCTTCGGAATAATTATTAAAACAGCAAAAATACTTTTCGAAGGCACCAGTTACTTCGTGAAACGAACTAACAATCAGGCCAGCAAGTAAGCTATTTATTTGAAAGAGGCAAGCTCCCTCGAGTGCTTACGGAAAATTGCGAAATTTCGAGAATAAATTATCATGTATTTTTTCGATAAATGTGAGTAGGCTTGTTAACCCCTTAAGAACAAATTTGTGATATTTCTTGGCGGCGATTTGAATGGACACTCGATCAATAGACTAGCAAATTAAAAAGCAGACATTTTTTTGTAAGCTAGGTATAGACCGTTAGTAAATCTGACGATAGATTTGAAAACTCCCAAGTTCGGAGAGTAGAGGAGGGCTTGAACTTTATTAACACTGTTATTGCACTTACGAGCAATACGTCCTTTATTAAGAAGACATTCCAATTATTATATACATTCGTCTCGAGAGGTGATAAATTTCTTCCGGGTAATGAAATTTTTTCAAAGCAATTTCCCAAGCAAAGAGAAGGAAGAAGATTATAGTTGGGCAAGGCCGACCCTTAAATACGTTGCACTAAATTGTCTAAAACAATTCCTATTTTTTTGTATGCAATTACTATTATGGGTCAATTTTCATCACCACTTATTAAAACTTAAGTTTATCTGCCCTACAAGGGTGAATTGTCTTAAAAAACGTTATTATGGTAGGAAACAAAAAATAGGCCGAGATTGAGTTTCAAAAATTGACCCATCCGGTCCAATGTTTTCATACCAATTTAGGCTGCCCAAATACTACTAGTTGGCCATCTTTGTCGAGATATCTTGAAAATTACTAATTTTTTCCATATAATGACTTTTCAGTATAGAGCGTTATATGAGGGGAGTGGTGGAAAAAGTGAACCGATCCGAACATCCAATTTTCAATAGGGCTCGTCCTTGTGTTAAAACACGTCACTATACCAAATTTCATCAAAATATCTTATGAATTGCGATCTGTAGCTTGAACGTAAATTTACATGGACCGACACGGGACAGATAGACGGACGGACAGGTTTAGATCAATTCAGATTATGATTCTAAATCGATCGGTATAATAAAAAGTGCGTGTCTGCGTGTCACATACGACCGCACTAACCTGATACTGTGCCACAAGTGTAGCGATCTACCCTCTTAAGTGATTACGATTAAGATGAAGAATATATGCGTAGTTACGTTTAAACAAGATTTCTGTTGAATTTAAGGCTGACGTGTTCTAGATAATAAAGATAACATGAATACCTTATCATATAAGTTTTGTTTTTTTGCAAACAAAAGCACTGTAGTAATGATAATAATAACGATAAGAGAGAACTACTATTTATTATAGGGTTGAACCGAAATTGTCAGTATCCTCTGGCGTTTTTGTAAAATATCTTGCATTCGATCTAACTTATAAAGTATAGATATTCGGATGTTGTCTGACAGTTAAATAATGATTTTTGAATGAATTTTGCCTGCCCGCCAACAACAACATAAACAACATAAATGACTTTCGTATCTTAATTTAAGACAATTCGAGAGAAGAGATGTGCATACCTTTTTTGTAATTTCACCGCTGCACCATTGAAGTGTCAGAATTGTACGCATTTATCTCTCATCTGATAAAGTAACAAAAAAAAAAGTCGCCTTCATTTAATTCGAGCAATTAGTTGAGAAAGCATTTCTCTAACGTTTCTTCAATAAAAAAGATGTTGACTGCAAAATTATATCAAGGTTGGATAAACAAAAACAAAATAATAATTTTCTTTTTAATTTTGATAACATTTTTTTCATTAAAATGATCACGAAACTTATTTCAGTTCTGTTTTGGCTTACAATTGTTGCTATTTGCCTGTTAGAGCTAACATGCGCTGAGCCAGGATATTACAATCGAGTCAATAACACCGGACCAAGTTATCAATCACCTATCAGGCCAAACATGTTTGGTTATTTTTCTAATCATTCCCGTTGGAATTATACTGGACGTAACCCCTATCCGAGACCTGTACCAGTTTCATATATACTTTTGCCTTAAACAAATGAGAATGAAATTGAAAGTGCATTCATTATATTAAACATTCGAAAAGAATAAAGTTTTTCTTGTGGACAAAACTTGTCATATGTGGACAAACTTGAATTTTTCCTATACACACAAATCCGTGCAAATGAATATAGGGAAAAATCGGAAGAGTTTACGATTTGTGTCATTTGCTTAATGGTGAAAATACTGGATTCTAATAATAATGAGAAAGATCGAATTAAGTGATAAGAGTACAAATTTCAAGAATGTATTAGATCACTGAGTGTCGACTGTCTACGAACTCGAGCAACGTACTGTTGCCCTTTCTTCCTCTACATCTTCTGATCTCTAAATCGTGTCGTAGTATCGTAATCGATATTACTTTTCCTCCTTTCTTAGTTTTTTATACCTATCACCGACCCGAAGGATGCATCAGAGACCTCTCAAAATATGTATATCCGTGATTAGCATCAAATTCTAAATCGATTTAAGCATGTCCGTCTGTATGTAATATCTATTGTAAGCGTTCTCCCGGCTGCAAAAATTAAGCTATCAACTTCAAATTTGACAGAAAGATTGAAAGTTCTTTGACGCCGGTTGGTATTGAAAATGAGCTAAATTAGTCGAAGGATGCTCCCACAGCATCATGTAAACTGAGAACTCCTGTGTTTTTCAAAGGAAATGAAAAATTGTTTTTTTTTTTTTTTACTCATTACTTATAAACTAAAGCAAATAAATATGCAAAAATTTGATCGCATATTCTATGGGCGATGGTGGATTTAATTGTCTTTTGAATACCTTTATAAAGAAAACCCCTAAAGACTACAAATTCTTGACTACCGAATCGCCCATAGAGTACCAGAGGTTCAAATTTTTGTACATTTATTTGCTTTAGTTTATGAGTAATGAGGAAAAAATCAATTTTTCATTTCTTTCGAAAAACAGATTTGTTCGCAACTTACGTAATGCTGTGGGCGTGTCCCTCCGCCGATTTGGCCCATTTTCAATATTAACCTGCGTGCGAGAACTTCCAATGTTTCTGGCAAATTTGAAGTCGCTGGCTTAATTTTGTTTGCAACAAGCATTACACAGACGCAAC